GGAACTCATATAGTAGTTACATTGTATTTCATTTTATCAATTATTTATTAGTTTGAGTGAAAAATAATAATTTTTTTAAATAAAATTTTAAATTTAAGCCTCTTCAATTTTAAAAATAAGTATGATGAGAACTTTTTTTTATAAATTTTAACGTAACTTAATTTTAGATTAATTAAAATTTAACATAATTTTTAAATATTAAAAATTAATATGAGAACAAAAATTATATTTCATTTTTTATGTGAGATTTAGGACAATATTTCTACTTCAATTGTATATTAAGAGATAATTTTTTTATTTTTCAATTTGTTTCACTTATTAAATTCAAAACTTATTATTTTTACTATTAAAAAATATAATTATTAAATTATTTAGATCATTGAAAAATTTAAGATATATATAACAAAATTTGAGTTAAAGCTTTATTTCTTACATACTTCTTAGATATGTTTGATCAATAATAAATAATTACCTCTATTTATAACTTAAAATTTTTCATTTTTTTAATAAAAAACTATTACTGACGGTTAAAACAAACAGAATAAAAAAAATGTAATTTACCAAATTAATTGCAAACTCAATTGCAATAGAGCTTAAATTCGAATTTAATTCATATAAAAGTGATGAAAAAGGTTTTTTTTTTTTTTTTCCCTTGCCCAAAACTAATACCACTAAATAATATTCTGTTGACTTAACTTGCCCTGAGACACAGTCCTCCTCCATTCCAGCTCAACTTTCCATAAACACTGGTAAAGTTAAAATCTTTTCGGGGTCTCAAGCTCACCTTTTTATTAAATTTTTCATCTTTATTTATCTATTTTTTGATCTAAAGACTTCAACTTTAAGCAAACGAATGAAATTTATGAACAAAAATCTCTTCTTTTTACTTTCATGACAGTATACATAAGAGGCAGGAGGTGGGTTTTTGTTGGCAAGGGTGAAAGAAACAATGGCGGGAATTGGTATTTTGTTAGATCTATGCAGGAAAAATCCAAGCTTCTGCTCTCCGAATAGCTTCCATGGTTATGGGTCTTTTTCTGCCTCAACCGCAGCTGCAACTGCGGCTGCCACCATCGCCGCTGGCGTTCCTTTTGCTTCTAGGTGCCTTTTCGGGTATGTAAATCGTTCGAGATATATGTATTCATGTATACTGCTGTATTGGTTTTTTTTTATTGCTCGGAGGCAGTTCTAATTTGGATTTGATAAAAAGTTAATTTATCCATGCTGTTCTTAATCCCATTAGGTGATTAGGTTTTCTTGATTTGATTTGATAGGTATTTTTCGGTGAATGTATGCACGCTTTTCTTAAATCATGTATGTATATATACAGTTCATTACTGTATTTATACATGTCTGCGCTGTATAGGAGCTGTGATGATGAAGATTATCGATTTTGGGGGAATTAGGCAACTGGGTTATATTCTTATTGTGTTTATAAAATCCGAACTTTTGGTTTGCTTCAGAATAATTATGAATATGGTCATTGAGATTTTCTGATTGGAGGCAGCTTTTAGTTGAATACTAGTATACGAATTGTGATGCTGTAGTTTGAGCAAAAGGAAGGAATTTGATTGCTAATGGACTCTGTGAAATCTTTATTTAAACAGCCAGAGCATGTGGCTTGTTGGTCTAGTTGTTTAGACATTTTGAATATAATCTTGACTTCACATTGGCAGGTCAGATAAGTGTTCAAATTCCAATTACTTCTCATCGCTTTCTTCGAGAACTTTAATCAGACTTCATTTTTGGCCGTCATCTTAATTAGAATGAAGGCAGTTTTAGCATACAACTCCAAGTTTCCTTCTTGTAACTCTATTTTCATCAGCTGAGAGGAAAAGTTATTATGGGGAGTACAGTCAGTACTCCAACACGGCTCAGACCATAAAAATCTGATGGTTCAAAATTAAGGAAATATAAAGACTAATGAAGCTCCAAGTTTCTTTGTTATAGCTTTTCTTGATGCTGCTAGGATAATTAATTATTGTTCAGCTCTTTGCTTCTATATTTGGTTTGGTTTTAATAATTTACTGGCTTCTTTCATACTACAGTTATCCAAAGATACCTGTTGCTTATTGTGATGCTGGTGCAACACTGTCTGATGCTGACATATTTAACTTGCGAAGAGTATCTGGAGATATCTTTCATAACAATGCTCTTAAGTATACCACGAAGGAGTATAAGATTGAGTTAAAACCCCTTCTTTCAGCTTTCGAGTTTAAGGCATTTGCTATGACATCTTTGAGGTCATTTTTGATTTTTTATCTGCCTCTTTTGGAACCTGCCACAAGCACAGAAGACGATGATGACATTTTCCATGATGCTAATGAAGAGCGTCATACAGATTTGCTTGTTCCCTTCAAAAAATCTGTGAAGCAGATTGCTCGTGAGGTTAGTTGCTTTTGTCTTTGCCCATGAACTTCTTGGATGTGATCCATATTCCTCTTTCATGATGTTACAGGTGATTAATGAGTGCAAATTGTTAAAATTGACAAAAGTTAATAAGTTTATTTAGTTTAGGTGTTTAGGTTTTTATTCAATTATTTGCCCATGATATCATTAGATCCACTCTTAAGAATGCAGTATAATTCTGCTGCTACAATTATCTTGGTTTATTCCTCTCCAGAAGATTTTGTGCTTGATTTCTTCACTTGGTTTTACTCTTCCACACTTAATCTCTCCTATCACTGATGAGTTTTCAAAGAAACTCGTTTTGGAGTGATCCTTTGCTCACTCGCTTGCGACTGAAATTAACCTCAACATCTCTTTTATTAGTTCTGTAGTGCCTGAGGCTCGTAAAAATACTGAATAGCCAGCATTCACTTTTTGATCATCCTTTTATGTTAAGAATACAATCTGTAATCTATATTTTGATGCAATTTCTTAAGAATTGAAAAACACACTTAACAATGTTTTCTACCAATGCAGACAACTGTTGTGACTACTAGACGGATTTTTGAAAGACTGGCTGTTCATTATGTCTCACAGCGCATGGCATGGAAACTTCTTAAAGGTACTCTTTATCCAACATGCATAAGTACTGTAGTTTTTCTCAACTGTCTTAGTCTAAAGTAACCAATGAAAAAATTTACTTGTGCCGATAGTATTCAAAGAATTCATATATTAGAGGAATACTGTTTTCAACAATCTTTTATGCTTTCTGATTAGATATTTCAAGCTGCTTATGAATTTGATCAATATAAACAGATATTCCTAAATCTGCCACACGGAAGGCTCAAAGAGGAATGCCGACCACAGTGTTCTTTCTTAGAGTTAGCAGAACAACCTTCAGAGGTCAAAGTCATAGCCATTTTATTTTCTGTTTATTTTAGGTGGTGGCTTAAGCCATGTATCCTCATTGCTTTCTGTTTATTTTGCAGGTCACTTGCTTGGAGTTGCGGCAGCATGGTTTGTTCAAGTTGGTATAGAAATCTACCGCTCCTTGAAAAAAATAACAAACTCTGAAGATGAGACTGATACTGTCAGCAGATCACAAGAAGCTAAACTCTTTGGGAGGAAGGTTTCTGGTGTCACTATCAAGTGTGGAGCATCGCTGATTTTTGCTTCTATTGGAGCAGGGATCGGTGCCACCCTCATCCGTCCTTCAATTGGTCAATGGATTGGTAAGTTGGTTGCTCATCCATGGGATATACATTAATCTAACATTACAACTGGCTACCAGCTAATATTACCCTTTTTCTGCAGGTTGCGCTGTTGGAGATTTGGCTGGTCCAATTATTGTAACATTTTGTCTAGATAAGGTTCTTCATATAGACCTCTAGATCATGCTGGAAATAAATTTTCTGCTTCAAAGTTGACCTTGTTTACTTAACACAGTTTTCTTAAACACACAACTTAACGGGATTACAATATGTTTTGTTTGTCAGTAGCCATTGAAGCAGGTAGTAAGAGGAAATGCTTCATAAGCTGCACGTAAACTTTTGCAGAAATTGTCATTCTGTTGGTTTAGTTATATAACATCCATTTCGTTTCCTAAATAGTCTTTTGCCACTCTCATATTGACATTTGATTGTAGCCAAACATATGGTTCAAATGTGGAATAACAAATAGATGTGTGACAGTCTAGGACCTATGCAGAAAAGTAACATATTTGTTCCTCCAAAATGCAAGCAGTCCTACTTCAGGCTTCAGGTATCCCAGATCATCACCACTGCAATTACGCCAATACCAAGTAGGACGGCTAAAAACTTGTGATATGGTGTGTCAACTGAGACCCTGCCATGGGGAATATATCCTTTGGATAGCAGGTGGTTTATCGATACATAAACGAAGACTCCACAAGCCAGACCCATTGATATGGCAAAGATCCAGTCTGCCACGTGACCCTCAGTCGTTGCATCTATTATGATCCCAATGCCCACGCCAATGGGACTTGAGATTGCAAATGCAAAAGCGTAGGCCATGCAGGAGAGAAGGGGGCGATCTGGGATCATTCGGAGGAGTGCGATCCCCATTGCTATGGCAGCAAATATCTTGTGCAAACTGATAGTCCATAGCGCTTTCCAGGCATCGAGTTTTGTCTCTGCAACTCCAATGGCAATGCCCTCAAAAACGGAATGGAAGCACAGGGCAAAAATCAATAGAATGCTATCCCCAAGTGAACTGACATTGGTGAGTGCAGAACTTTTAGAGATGCCATTTCCTGCCTGGATAAGGCATATGAGAAAAAGAAAACTGTCAGCAACTTATAGAATAAGCAGCGTCCACAGAACAAAAACTAGAAAGGATAAGATGCTTTTGTGGCTTAGAATCTTACATGAAGATGTGATAGTGAAGTGGACTGAGTGCTGTTTTTCCTCTGCTCAACATCCCCTGGAAATGAAGAAAATTTTCCTTTACAGCATCCCGATGAGATTCTTGAACATGTTCATTACAGAGAAGCAACTAAAGTTCAAAATTTTCCCAGCAAACAAACGGTGGTAATTAAATTCCTTTTTGTCCCACCTAACATATTTATCACCCTCAACAACCGGTAACCCAACATAGCTGGATATACTAATTTACTCTCCCACAATTTCTCAGCTAACAAACAGAGAAAAAAACATAAGTTGGCGTTTGTGTAATTAAGCGGTGGTTCTTACCTTGGATCTGATCTCCATTGGAGTTAGTCTGCCCCTTCCCATACACGTAAGAAATCACACAATCTGCCAGCATGGTGAGCAAGTATCCACCGCAGGCGAGCATAAAAGCAAAAGGGTACTCAACGTCAGTCAAATCCTCAAACGTCTCATTAGCATCACTCAAGAAATGCATCAAAGCAGTACCCAGAAACACTCCCCCTGCAAACTGCGTCCCCAACACCAAGAACCCCTGGTTCCACTTAAAAAAGTATGGAGACACCCCACCAACAAACGTCCCCACAAACACAACGATTAAGCACCATATCTTGGCAAGGATCAAGGGTCTTGACCGGAGGTCAAGGGTTTCACCGGCGAGAGAATCATCGTCGTCGTCGTCGTGACCACCGTGGGAGGTGGCTGAGAGGAGGAGCGAGAGGCAGAGGAGGAGGAAGAAAGGAAGAGACTTGAAGATTGTCATTGGAGTCAATGAATGAAGGAATCTTATCACCCTATTTTGTTTTGCTAGGTAGATAAAGGGGAAGATGTCGTAGTCTGTACTGCATGGACAAAAAAGAGAGGACGAAGAGGAAGATGGAAGGGAAAAGTGTACTACAAAATAAATAGTTGTGAAGAATTTTTTTTCGGTGAAGTTATCAGCAGATTCAGCACACCCTATTTGAATAATACAACACTTAAAATTACGAATTGATATTTTTACCCATCATTCGGAGGCAAAAACTCAATTTTAGCCTTTTATCTTATAAATTTGGAAGGTTTTAGTCCCTCATCTTACATTATGATATTTTTAATTTTTTATCTTATTAGATTTATAAGTTTTAACCTCTCACTTATTAAAATTAAAGAAAATAACTCTCAATATAGACTGATTATTAATTTTATTAACTAAAAGTAGATTTTTATCAACCAACATTCAACTAATAGCTAATTAACATAATTAACAAAATATTATAAAATTAGTTTTGTTAATTTTGTTAATTAAAAGAAGATTTTTGACAATTAACAGTTAACTAACAATCAACTAATAAAGTTAACAGTCAGTTAACAAAACTAATAAAATATTATAAATCGAAGGTTATTTTCTTCAATTTTAATAGGTAAGGGGCTAAAAGTGTCCTATTATAAGGTGAGGGATTAAAACTTATAAATCTAATAAAATAAGGGGTTAAAAATATCATAATATAAGATAAAGGACTAAAATCTTCAAATTTAACAAGATAAGAGACTAAAAAGTAAAGTTTTACCTCATTATGAAAATTTTACTTTTTTTTCTTTCCAGTACTACGTCTTTTTACTTTTCTTAGCCCTTGCAGCTACAGCCCTCATTCTATTTCATATTTTTTCTTCTCCAAAAATAAATTTGACTTTATTTTTTTTTCTCTAAAATAATCAAATTATTTTGGAAAAAAAAAAAAAAACAGAACACAAATTCAAAATCAAATCATTCTTAATCATGATTGGTAATGTAAATGATACAAGAGTTAAACATCAACAGTCAAATGTAATTAAAAATAAGAATATATAAATTAAACATCATCGTCTAAAAAAAGTTCACATTATGAATTTGGTTAATATGTTGTACTAATAACTAGTACTATAAATTTATCCGAATCAAAATTCACAACCTTTAAATTTTACAAACAATGTGCATCTAAGAAAGCACCTCAGAAGACATGAAAAGTTTGAAGAAAAATCTACTTTGGGTCATTCATTTGCACTCATGAAAAATTTACTCTTCATTAGTAAATTTGAAAATAATATATATAAAAAAAAGAGTAAAATTTACTCTTCATTAGTAAAAAAAAGTATAAAAAATTTAAATGATATATAAAGAAAGAAGAAAAAAACAGAAGAGGATGACCACAAATTAACCCAAGGAAGATGGCTCACCATGAATTAAGACAGGACCACTTTGAAAATAAACGACCAGAGAGAGGAGACTGTGTGCTGCTCCGTTCAATGTAATTAAAATATGAAGTAGGATAAGGGCTGTAGCTGCAAGGGTTAAAAGAAGCAAAAAAGGGTAGTTTTGGCAAGAAAAATATATTATTTTTAAAATGATAAACAAATACATCAATTCATAATTTTAAGTGTAACATTATCAAAATAGAGTGGGGTTATATCCCCACCCACTTTTTTTGGAAAATAGGCAATAGTAGTTGGGAAGACTTTGAGTTTTTAGTATTGTGGTCTTGGTCTATAGCTTTGCCGTGAAGGATTGGCCTGGACCCAAGGAATTATGACTTAAACACCAAGTCATTGGTTGTTAGTACAGCAATAAATTAAGAGGAAAAACCTCTAAATGCTAACTTAATTATAAATTCATACAAGTGAAACCTGAAGCAATTTTACCATATAAAGTTATTGGCAACTTAATACTAAAATTGTCAATAACACACTGATATATATATATATATATATATCAATTTTACTATTAAAATGATATCAAGGCAATAAAGAATAACCATAACACCAGCTCTGGTGCCAAAAATTTTGTTTTTTGTGATTGATTAGAGATATTTATGGAAAGAGTATAATGCCTATGTCCAGGCAAAATTACAATTTTTGTCAACCATTTGAATGATGCAGTCAAAAACGCAATCTCAAAAATGTATGATCTCCATTACAAAGAAAGACTTTTTTTTGGCAGAATCAAGCTTGGAAACTTCTACATTAATGTGATAGATCGTTTGTTTCATACTCCAGAGGGAACGCAAATTCCAGAACTATACACTAACTCTGTCCTCAACGACGCCAGAAACTTCTTTGCTGCTGCCTCTGTTCTTGCATCCGCCTACATTATCAATACTCCAAATGAAAATGTTGCTTAAAGAATATCACTCAAGATGGCATTAAGAAAACGTGCAGAGAGCTAAGGAAATTCTAACCTTTGATACCCTTTAGAGCGCTCAAGAAACTCCTTTGCAATGTCTTTTCTCTCATAAGACTTTAGAACTGGTCTTAGACCAGATGGACTCTTGCGGGCAACATCAGTACACAAGGCAAGATACGATTCAGTAAAATCAAACAAGCTGAAACAAAAACCTGGCAAATACAGATTTAAGGCAAGCCAGGCAACTAGACAAAGATAGAGCTCTACTGTTAGTTCCTTGCATAGTTCCATTTGGCTTGCAATTTTAAGACTAGAGGACATGCAGGGTTGTAAAATAATTGAACCAAAGACATACAACAGATATTTAAAGTTATTCCTGTCTAAAACTCTAAATGGCTCAATGGCACAACAGGAGCAATAATGGGCAAACAACTCAGTCCTTCCGTACAACCATCAAATCTAACCATGCAGGGTGCAAATCTAACCATTCAAAATTCTAGTAACACGCAGAAAAAGGCATGCTCAATACTAAGCATAGGATTTTGGACACTTACACTCAAGGAATGGAATAAGATCCAACAGTGCCGGATCATCTGCCTCAAGCTTATATGGTTTAATTGGGTTAGATCTCTACAGGAAAAGTCCAAGCTTCTGCTCTCCGAATGGCTTCTATAGTCATGGGTCCTTTTCTGCCTGAACCGCAGCTGCAACTGCGGCTGCCACCATCGCCGCTGGCGTTCCTTTTGCATCTATGTGCCTTTTCGGATATGTAAATCGTTCGAGATATATGTATTTATGTATGCTGCTGTATTGTTTTTTTTTAGAAAAATGATATGGGAACAACCATTTTGACCCACCAATTTATACAACTTAACGTGGACAGTTGATCTGGCATCCACATTCGATAACGCCACTTCTCTCCCTGCTTCCCTTGGTCTCTGGCAAAAAAATACTCCGCTTCGCTCAGTCCCTGTTTTCAATCCTATTCAATCCTACCGAATGGGTGAAGTTGAGAACAACAATTTCATAGCTGGCACAAATTCTATTTCTGGTATTTGTCACTCACTTTCTCCTATTTTTTTTTTTTTGCGTGTCAATGGGTTAAGCTTTATAGCTTCCAAAATTTGGGTCCAACTTTCAAACGTGATTCTTACTACTCTGCTTTTTATTTGTTAATTTTTTTGGGATTTTTTTTGGCTCTGTTTAGAATTGGGTAGACAACAAGGGATTTTTCCTTTTTTTGTCCCATACAAGGGTTTGATTCCTATTCTTTCAAGGAAGATCACAAGATTCAGTTGGTGTGTGTTTGTATTCTATTGATTTTATATTTAAATTTTCTGTGTAATTTTTTAACTTGGATTGTGAGATTTTAGATTAAGCTAATAAAGAGATTATGGGAGGACATTAGCATCTCTATCATGTATCTATCTTTTTAAGCTAAAGTTTATTTGTTTCTAATTCTAACTCATTTCAATGGATGGTGCAGAAATTACAAGTTATGAGGTTGAACCTGAAACAAATTAGAAAGATATCTATGAACTAAAGCCAAGGATGATATTCAATTTAAAGAAGGAAATTGAAGTTTTTTATAAAAACTTTGCTCAGCAAAAGGGTTTTGGTATTAGGAGGAGAATTTCAAAGAAAGGGAATGATGGAAGAATTATAAGCTTTGTGCTAGCATGTGAACGTGTGGGGGAAAGAAAGTCCATGCCAAGTAAGTATTGTAAGGTAGTCAAAACCATTAAAAATAGGTGCCCGGCTCGCGTCAATGTTATATTAGGAAAAGATGAGAAGTGGCATATATCTGTAGTTCATCTTATACATAACCGTCAACTTAGTTCTTCCAAAACTCGACATTTTAGAATCAACAAGGAGATGGATGTGTATTAAAAAATGAGACTTGATTTGAATGATAAGGCTGGGATACGAGTAAACAAAAACTTTCAATCAATTTTTTTAGAAGTTAGAGGACATGAAAATTTGACTTTTAGTGGGAGGGATTGTTCGAAATTATCTTCAAGAAGAGAGACGACGGAAAATCAAAGATGGAGATGGGGAAACACTAAGACAATATTTTGTTAGAATGCAAGAATTGAATGAAAATTTTAATTCTGTGCTTGATATAGAAAATGAGCTTTGTGTAAAAAATATATTTTAGGCTGATGTAAGGACAAGAGAGGCATATAAGGCATTTCGAGATGTTGTTACGTTTGACACAACTTACCTTACAAATAAATATGACATGCCTTTTGCATTGTTTGTTGGAGTCAATCATCATGGCTAGTCCATATTATTGGGTTGCAGATTATTATCATATGAACATACAGACTCGTTTGTTTAGTTGTTTAAGACTTGGTTGCAATGCATGTCAAGTATTCCACCTAAAGCCATTATCACGGACCAATATATGGCAATACAAAATGTTATTCAAATGGTGTTTCCCACTACAAGACATCGGTTGTGCTTATGGCATATAATGAAAAAGGTTCCAGATAAGCTTAACGGTTATGCCAAGTATGGAGGTAGTAAGCTTGCTCTACAAAATGTTGTATATGATTCAATGACAATTGCTAAGTTTGAAGATGGCTGGAAAAAGTTTATGGAGAAATTGAATCTATATGAGAATGAATGGTTGAAAAGCTTGTATAACATAAGAAATAGTTGGGTTCCATGCTATTTAAAAGATACTTTCTGGGCTAGAATGTCAACTACTGGATGTAGTGAGAGCATGAATGCTTTCTTTGATGGACATCTTCAAAGTGGTACAAGTTTGCAACAATTTGTCACTAGTTATGCCAAAACCATGCTCATTAAAGTAGAGAAAAGGATTAAAGAAGATTTTCAATGCTTCAATTCTTGAATATGTTGCATATCTTCATCCTCAATTAAAGCACAGTTTGAGCAACATATACTATTAAAAAGTTCAAAGAGGTTCAACATGAATTTTGTAAGAATGTGAATTGCTTTGTCTTTACCATTGAGGATGAAGAATGCGATTGTACCTACCTAGTTCGTGAAGATATCTCTTTGTACAATGGCATCAAAGAGTAAGAGTTTTAGGTGAAGCTAAATAAAGAAAGATGTGATGTGATGTTAGGTGTTCATGTCAATTGTTTGAGTTTAAAGGTATTTTGTGCAGGCAAGCTTTGTTTGTTCTTACACAAGAAAATTGCAAAAAGTTCCTCAAAAGTATGTCTTAGATCATTGGAGAAAAGATGTTAGGCAAAAGCATTCAAATTCCTCAAAAGTATGCCT